CTATACATCAAAACTGGAATTTTTATATTGCAGTAATGTCTTGCCTCAGTCTGTTTGATCTATCCAATATGGATATACATGTCTAAAGCACTTTATTGCTACTTCTTACTGTTTCATGTTGCAGTATTTAGGAAGAGCCTGGTATTACTGTATTGGGAAAGAATAGCTGCTGTTTGGCTTTGCAGGTCATACTGAATTCTTAAGATAAACTTTTCCCCCCTTTTTTGGGGTATCTGGCCCCCTTGTATAGAAATCTGTGACATGTTTCGGTGTTGGTGTTTATTTTTTTTTTTTAAGAAATACTAGTTGAAAAGTAAATCAGTGCCACTAACCATAATGTGAACAATCTTGAATATAAACCAGCAAGCCCATATAATATGAGAAAATTTTCTGCAGGAGGATTTTAATTTTAGGTGTGTTACAGGTTGTTCTAAATAATTTTGTACTTCATTATTCAAACGTATCCATCACTTATACACCACCTTCTATTATAAAATAACTGCAACATCTCTTTAGGACAGATAGGGAAATTATACTATTTTAGTTTATAGATGAACTGAAGTAGAGAAACTTTGCTCAAGGCTGAGGACATAGTCTTCAGTACAGCGATGAATATTCAAGAGTACCCAGTTCTCTACCCCAAGAGCGAGTCCTGTAAAATTAGATGAGAAAATCAGAACAAGGAATATTGTTGGTACAGACTGTGGTTTCTCACCATGTTTCCCTCCTTCCCTTTCTCTGGGTTTCTGTAAGAGCTAGCCCGCAAGATTGACAGGTGTTTTTTCCATACTCAGTTACTTCCATTGTTTACCCTTTTTTCGTACAAACAGCATTTTTGCCAGTGTTAGTTTTCCTTATTTATGTGTACAAGTGTGAGACGTAAGGGTGGCATAAGAATTGAGCTCTGCACCATGTAAGATCTGCCCATCATGCAAAGGCTGCCACAGTAGAGGAAAAAAATCCAGGAAGGAAAGAGTATTATGTGTCCTAAATGCCTGAAGTAGGCCAGGGAGAGAGTCTTATCTCCGATCCCTCTCTGTGCAGTGACTTGGCAGCCTGAACTGTCGATTGCGTCTGTGTGGAATCCCCTTACCATCAGTAATGCCTGCGTAGGACTCGCGTTAGCATATCCCAATCCAAGGGTATTTATTTTGTTTAGATGACCCCAGTGCTCAATTAGCAGTAGTCTATGACGTGCCAGCTCACACCTTTGGATGACTGAAAGTGGGATGACGAAGATACACAAAAATATCCTTCTTCTCCCTGCTTAACATTGCTTGACGCAGTAGGCACGGGGTGTTCTCCACAATCGTCAAATGAGCCCCGGCATGTTATGGCAGAAAGTGTAACCTCAAAAACTGTGAAAACATGCGCTAGGTAGGCTCTGTAGGAAGCCAGCCACGATGCTTGGCTGCCAAAGTTACACCAGGATGACTGTAATATCCAGATAATGTCCCGTTTCCCAGCTATCCCTGTGATAAGCAGATTTCCAAGTTCCTGGAGGCATTGCACATGAAGTAACTGACAGATCTGTGATGCACCCGTAGGCGTAGTTTGTAAATAAATCTGATTTTTGAAAGGACTTAGTATTTAAAAGTATTGTCAGTTGTCATTATGTTGTTACGAAACTTACAGTACTTGATGTTTTCTTAAATTACCAGCTTCTGGAATTGGGTACCAACAAGAGAATACCAGCTTCTTTTTAAAAGCACATGAAGTTCCTTGTTGTCAGACTCCCATAGAAACCCTATAAGGTCTTGAAAGTCTCTGAAACTAGAAAACAAATAAGAAGCACCTTAAATTTGGAAAATCAACTAAGATGTCTTTCATTTTTGGAGACCCATTTCTGATATTCTGTACCATGTACTGTTAATACTGACTAACGTCAGCGGACTGTGGGTCTGTTGTGTTTTTCTGCATGATACTTAATTGAACAGAAATAAATTCATTTTAGGAAACAGTTTACCAATTTGGGTCACTAAAGATAGGATCCCAAGGCATAATTAGATGCTTCTATTTAACTGTTCTGGTTTCCAGAGATGCTAACCCATATCAGTTTCTATTAAACTGAATTGGGAGTAATATCTGTGTTGAAAAACATAGTTTTTAGGCGGGTACTAGCTTGCTGATGGTGATGTCTAACTTTAGACACAGGTACATTTTAATGTACTGGTATACGCAAATGAGCTTTCTAAAATTTCCAGGTTGCAGAGTGATTTTTCTATTATTTTAATAATTTGCTCTTTTTAAATTAATAACACCCCTCTTGTTTTCCTGCCAAACAAGATTAAAGCAAAAATTCATGGATTTTAAGTTCTCTGGGAGAAGAATTATCTTCTTCCAGTATGCAGTTTGGCAGCACCTAGCTTAAGTCCCCGATTCTGGATCTGAGAGTTACTCTGTGATAGACAATAAATACATGAAGAATGCCAATAATAAAGATGCAGCAACCGCTTTCTGCTAGGCAGCATTAATTGTAGATTAATCAAAATTGGAGGAATACTTATAATGAAACTGAAATGCAGAAGTGTATTTTCATTTCAGTAATGATGATTTTGCAAACATCTCTAGTCTGTTGCTTTTGTGTGTCTATCTGAATTTAGACATGGAAAACATTTCAATTCGTGTTGCTTCTGTTTCAGTTTAAAGTTTACTGCAGATGACAGCGCTTTTGCAAGAATTGCTGATAACTGGTAATGAACAAGAGTTTGGAAAAGGTCATTCACTGAGTATTTCTTTCCCACTATAAACTTATGTGAATGTCTTTTCTCCAGGAAGCTTTTTTAGGTATCAAAGCTACGAAGATTTAGATTTCATTTAGTTTGACCGTGATAACTATGAAACTACTCTAAGTATAAAGTATCTTACCATTTTCCAGCTTATATACCTGTATGTGCAAATGCTCACAGATTGAAACAAAAGTCTATTTGCAGACAGTTGCTAGTGCTAGTTACTATTAAATAAACATTTCTGTGATTTTCGATTGCTTTGAAGATGCCCAAAGCATCAGTATTATCAACCAGCTAACTTCCAAAGACTACGCTAATGTAACACTTGGTGCAAACGTTAGTGGGATTTTGCTTTATGTTTATAACCCTGTACTTGCCGCCCATTGCATACACTCCAATAATAATCTCAATGATAATTTATTTTAAAAAATTACCGATCTGTAAACTTTTAATGTAAACTAAAATAACACTTGAAGGAAACAAAGACAACTTGAAATCTGTGCAGTTACTTTTTTTTTTTAAGCATTCCCTCCTGAAATCCCCTGCCAATTTGAGCTGTTTTATAATCACATTTTCCTCCTGTTAAAAAGTATTTTTCCTTTCCTTTTTTACAGCTGTAAAAGGCTCACACAGGCAACGGGGAGCTGACTAACGTAATATCCGGGGAAAGAG